AGGAGGCAGCCCCGCACCTTCTTGATCGCAGGCGGCAACTCCTTGGCGGTGAAGCGATGGCGAGGATGGCGCGTCCATGTGTCCGTACCAGCTGCGTGGCGAGGACGCCGGCTCCTTGACCCGGCGTCCCAATCTGGACGCCAAGGTGGTGCGGGGGCGAGGCCGGCTCCTCCTTCACGCGGCGTCCAATCTGGACGCCGCGGTTGTGCCGGGGCGAGGCCGCCTCCTCCTTCACGGGACGGAGCGGGACGCCGGCTCGTGCTTCACAGGATGGAGTCACCGCAAAATTTACACCGAATTTAACAGGATATATTTTTCCACAAAAAAATTCTGTCACAAAAGTTATCTCAGCCTTTTGCGTAAGCCATCGAGTTGGTGATGCGCATATTACCATTGTATTTACACAAATGTAACTGGGTGTATGTTACAACAACTTTTTTTACATGTTAAAAAGTTAGCATGGTGTTTGTGCGTAAGTTATCATCTCTCTTTAGCGTAAATTATGATGCTATTTACGCATAAGTTACCGATGAAAATCTTACGTGAGCCAGAAAAATGCATTGGGTGTTCGTCAAATCAAAATAAAAGTCACCTAACACATGATTTGACAAAAACAAGAGATAGGTTATTGGGCCATGCAACAAACCAGCTGACTTGAGTTCAAAAATACAAAAGGCTCGGAATTACGATCCACGATTTGTTTGTATGGAGAAGCACGTTGACCATTAAGCTTGCCTAATTAAAATAGCGGAAGGTCATTTCATTAGTCAACTACGAAGGAAAGGACAGTTGGTTAGTTGGGCTGAAGCATTGGCCTCTTCACTAGACGGCCAGGGATCGAGTCCCAACCAACGCAATTATTATTTTTCTGATGCAAAAACGGTTGGAGGCCACAAACCGGTACGAGGGTTTCATCCCACGAAAACAAAAACGGTTCAGCGACACGGAAGGGAAAGAAAATCGGAGGGACCTGGAGTCGAGGGAACTCGATCGAACATAGTCGTTCGGATCTATCCCTAAATTCCTATCAGTCGGAAAATAGCTTTATCGTTATCTAATTGCATTTAGACTAGTTCATTCTATGTTTTTAAGGCGACGCCTTACCACCTTAGGGAGGGGGGGGGCACCTAGGCGACGCCTAGGCGGGCGCTTTGGACGCCTAGGCGCCCAAAGCGGTCGATTTTACAAAGCGGAGGGGGAGCGCTTCGACGCCTAGGCATCGCCTAGGCGTCGCCTTAGGGACGCTTTAAAAACCTAGAGTTCATTACCACCTGACACCTTTGTACTGCACACTACACTTAATGTTGACTCGTCATGAGTAGTAACAAAATTAGATGTTGATAGTATGTATACACGCATCCATTTTAGGGGATCTTTTTTGAGTTCATGGGGCATTTTTTAGGGAATCTTCATCTTACTCACCAACCAGCATCTTTAGTATTATAGAAAGTTAGGAAGCTATAGCATTTTCATACATATGGGATTGAATTAGAAGGTTTACTATTCATGATCTGACATTTTGATACCCCTGGTCTGACACATGCTCTGCTGGCAATCGTATTAGTGCGATCAATAGCATGCATCATTAACTGAATCCCGATATACGGAAGACTATAGGATAGTGTGCACACAGATCACAAGGCATGCATAGCAACCGGGATAGCACGGGGTGGTCTAGCCACCAGGGGGTAGCATTAGCATAGCAACCGGGAGGCAAAAAATCCGCCTTAATACATCCTATTATCAGGTGTAGTTACACCCAACCCATGTCTCATATGCTACCATGTGATAGTATACATACTACTTTATCATTTTTATTATGTTCATAAACTATATCTAAGATACTCCAAAGTGAGTTATATGAAAAAAAATGCAAGCGGGCCATAGGTTTTATTATATTTGTAAAATACGTACATATTTGTACATAAAAAGGAGTATGCTCACTATATGGTACATACTGCCCAAAAAGTAGTATATATACTACCTCAACATTCTTATATACTACATACTACGCTTATATATACTCCGGTATGATAGATACTACCTAGAACATACGGAACAAAAGTGGGAGTAACTACACCTGGTCGTAGGAAACATTTGTCCTATATATTATATATACAGACACACATAATAAAAGTCTAAGACGTGTTTATTAACGGTAAATAAGTATGCAGCTTACCTCAACGTCACATTTCATCTCCTTTGGACATGGCTTTACCATGTAGAATCTCTGCAAGCACCAGCAACTTACAATTGTTACATATATGCAAGAACAACAGACTAAAGAACTGAAGTCGAACTTCATTGTTAAATCATCCGAATAACACGCTACAAATGGGTATATGAAGTTCTACTGTCTGACACTAACACCCATGTTTCTGTTTTCAAAATGTATTATTCAGTTTGCGTTGCATCATATTATGTCAAATGAATTAAACATATCAGTTATAAAAGTATTCAGGTGGCAGAGTATGCAAAATCTTCTGCACTGCCTACAAACTGACAAGCAACATCTACAACGCGAAACAAAATAGACAGGTATACCAAGAGCAAAGTACGCACAAAAACCTTATGTTGCCATAAAGATGTGTATTAGCAGAAACATGAAATGGACAAATATTTTATGGGTGTGCTTTGGATGCTCATCAAAAGAGTGGAACATGAAAAATATTTCCCTTGATCAGATATCACAGAATACAAAAGAAGAGGATAATAATGAACTGACATGATATGGTACATAGAATATGTTTATACACGTATGGTTGCAGATGATAGCCTAAGCTTATTTAACATATATTTGATATGAGGAATTTAAGTTGGTACAGGAACACTTCAAGAATTGATGGCCAGGTACAACATATATTTGCATATGAAGTACAATCTTTGATTTGAAAGAGTGAGACTGTTTAGGTTTTCTTTAGATGGGACTTTTTTTAGACCGTGGCCAAAGAAGATCTTTAGATGCGCAGTTTAGAAGTTACCATACTTGTCGGAAAGGTTTTTCTGGAGCTCTCCAAAATGCCTGCAAAAGGAAGTATGACACTGAAGTTCCTGGAAGAGACTCGCAAAAAAAATCCTGGAAGAGGCTACAAATTTGAAGGATTTATAAGACCAATGGGCATACTTGCTCAAAGTAGAGCACTCCAGAACCATCCACCATCTCAGTTGCAGGGCAAGTGAGCATTCTAGAAGAATGGAAGGCCAAGTTATACACAAGATGTTTAGGTGACAGAAGGTAGATTAGCATAGTAAGTATTTAAACTTATGCCAAAGGAAGTAAGTGCAGAATAGTTACATTAATTCAACCATGTGACATCTAATGGGATACTAATTTATTTTTATTTGCAAAACTTATTTTGGTATCACGTTTAGAAAACTATATTTTCATCCAAGGCATCTGGTAGAACTTTGAGTAAACAAAGTACCATAAGAGAAGAAGTACCCTGATATCCTCTTATGGTTTAACAGTGGTTATTTGGACCACACATAGATTGAGAATCACTTTTGAGAAAACTGTTTTTCAAGACTTCTAGGAGACCAGCCTTTAACTTGCTACTCTATTAAGATGACTCAATAAATATGTTGTTTGCATCGAGTACAACAGAACTATTTTCTCTGGGGTTTTGCTAACGTTGTGGTTCGTTAAGATCAGAACAGAACATATTTTATCATTAGTATTGCAGCCTAGGGGTGTTATTCGACTCTTGCTCTCGGCCAAGAAAGACACGATGCTATGACAATGCTCTACAGCTGCCACTTCAAGTTATGTTAGAAATTTATCGTCGTAATGTAATTTTACACAACATTTATGTGGAGTTGTGGACAGCAGCCAGAACCCGGCAACATTTCTGGATTCCCCAATCAGTTTGGCACTACCCAAGAAAAAATAAAACTAAGGCAACCACCACCATAAGGTGATGAATCAAAAATCTACAACAATGCTCAAAACACATGTATTCATAAATCAACGTGAATTGTACCAATACAATAGGAATGAATAACCGGTTATGCATATCCCCATTATTAGGAAAGCACAAGTTTAGCAAATTCATAACAAAGTAGCAACGAGTAACAACCCAGGAACACCTCAAGCCGCTTCCACAACTACCCAAAAGAAAGTCGCACTCCTGGGAAGTCCTCGTGAAAGGGTTTCATATCTAAGGGTTGTGATAGGCTTGGCGAGCCAACGTAAAAACTAGCCAGTCTTTTGGGTATGAAACCCATTTGGGCGAGAGTAGTACTAGGATAGGTGACCTCCTGGGAAGTCCTCGTGAAAGGGTTTCATATCTAGCCTACCCCAACTTGTTTGGAATAAAAAGCTTCATAAGTAAGTAAGTAAACGAACATCCCAACAACTAATGTGCAAACGGAATGCTTATGGGAAGCGTAATTTTCACCTAAGGTTGAAATAGTTTCCAGGATCCTGCCTCGCCTGCTCCCTCGAGAACTGCACATGGAACCAATCATGGCAATATAAATCAAGAAATCTATCAAGGCACATTATTGTTATTTTCCTTAGCTCAAAAGTACAAAAATTTAGCCACTCTAAACGGAGGCTACAATTCTAGCGGGGGGCTCACCTTTTCACCAGAGAGGGCGTCGGCGACGGCGCGGGCGTGGTCCCACCGGGTGGTGGAGCGGCGCAGCCGCCGGATCAGAATAACGCCGCCGAAGACGACGAGCGCCTTCAGCACCGCACCCCGGACTATCCCGCCGACTCCTCCACCGGTTCCTCCGGGGTTGTCCTCGCCGGAGCCCATGGGGTGTTCCACGGCGAACTCGCGAGGACCGACACGCGGTACAGAGGCGAAAGAGGATCAATCAAGAAAGAAAGAGAAAGGGAAAGTATTTCTGTGGACGGCGATACTGCGTTCATTTTTATTTTTATTTTTGAGGGAGCGATACTGCGTTCATTATTTCCAGTCAAAAAAGATACTGCGTTTGTTATCTTGCTCAAAAAAATTAAATAATACATTTTTTATTAATTTGCAAAAATATTACGCCGAATTTATTTATTTTTTAAATAATACATCATCGGCTAACTGGTAAACGATTGGATCTCGTCGTCCAATAGAAAGCCGATTGGGCACCTATCATCTATATGGATGCCGATTGAATATAGACACCGATTAAGCGCTAAATTCCTATCGGGGTGGTGGAACTAATTATCTTCCACTATGACGATAGGTTCCAATTGTCTTTCTGTAGGATAGGCTCTAATTGTCTTCCCGTAAGACGATTAGTCCTAATTAGCTTACGTAAGCCGATAGATGCATGGTCCGATTCCCGCTTATATCTCGGGCCGTCGTTTCCCGCTAGTATCCCCGCACATTTTCCCGCTTTACAATTCCCGCCATATTTTCCACTTTCTAATTCCTGCCACATTCTCCCACATTCTAGGTCCCGCCAGTGTGTCTTATCATATTTTCCCGCTTTCTAGTTCCCGCCATATTTTCCCGCTATGTACTTTCCGTCAGATTTTCCCGCTTCCGAGTTCCCGCCATATTTTCCCGCTACAGAGTTCCCGCCTTTCGTTGTGTTCTCAACCTATAAAACACTGTCGGCACTAACGTGGGTAAGCATTCTAGTGTAGTCTCGTAGTCTCGCCTATATGTCTGGATGTCCTTTTGATCATAATTTTCACCCTAGTATGTCCCAATGTCTTCTGCGTTTAGCTGCCAATTTCAAAAGAGACAATAGAATAGTTTCGTGGGACGAACTCATTAGTCCCGACACCCTACTGAATGAGTTGGCTCGCGCATTAAGTAGGTGTGGTAGCCTTCGAGGACCTTTGAGGAGATACGGAAGGAACTTCTCATGTTGCATGGAAGATGGATGAAGCAACAATCAAAGGGTGAAAGATACCTTAAGGTTGCAGCATAATATATATTTTTATGGACTGCCGACAGCGAGGATGAAGACGATATCTTCATGCCGAGCACCAAGGCGAATAGTAACCCATTATCAAAAGGCAAGAGTTCTACATCGTCAAAGGGCAAGAGTTCTTCATCGTCAAAGGGCAAGAGGTCTGCATTGTCAAAGGGCAAGAGTGTTGCATCGAAGGAGGGTGATGGTGATGGTTTCATGTAGTTTTTAAGTTGTATGTTGTAAGTGTAGTCTTACCTACCATTTCATTCAGATGTAGTTGTATCCAGTTATTTGTATTGTCTTATTGTAGGAGCGTTATGTTCTATCTAAATATGATGTTGTAGTTTGGATAACAGAGTACTAAAATAGAGTAGGCATATGTCTCATACATAAGTACATAGTCATTTGTCTCATACATAGAATAGACATAAATATCATACATAAGTAGATAGTCATGTCTCTACTGATAGATAGAATCGTCACTATCGACGGCTGTCCTGGCGCTCAGGCGGTGCTTGAGGCGTCGACCATCCTAACATGTGGGGTGGCCTAATGTTACGAGGAGGAAGCTCAAACTCGTCATGATCATACTGTGTATCCTGTGTGGGGCCTGGTGGAGGAGTTGAAACATGTTCATCCAATGGGTGTGCTGCAACATGTGATATTGTATGTTCTCCTCGGGATGTTGATCACTCCCCCACGTGGATCCGGACATAGATGCCTAATATCCGTAGGCTCCCGCGGGAGGGAATGTTAAGTCATGAAGAATTAGATCGCCTCGATTGATATTGAAAACAATAAATATGAAGAGACATACCTGCTGGTTGTGGCTATGGGTGTGGCTGAAAGTCGAAGCTCGACATGTATCTCTATTATTGTGGTTGCGGGTGTGGTCCAAAGTTGAAGCTCGATGTGTATCCCTGCTGATGTGGTTGTGGTTGAAACACGAAACTCGACGTGGGACCATGGTGTTGTGGGTGCTGCCACGTCAAACTGCTAGGTTGGTCAGGAGGGGGTGGCCTGGTCGTTAGCTGATGTGCTAGACGTGGGCATGGCTGATGTCGATGCGTGAGGGTGTGGCTGCTGCTGGTGGTGGTGGTGATCAACGTCGCTTCTCCGGGTGCACGTGATAGCCCCGTAGATAGCTCGTATCTTGTTCTGCATGCGTGTCACGAAGGGCTGGAGTGTAGATTGGTGCTGAAGAAGAGGTCCATACGATAGTGAACGTCCAAAGGTGGACATATCTTCATAGAGTTCGAGTGTCAAGTCAGCCTAAAAATTGACAGGACGATTATGAAGTATGCACGGCAAAGTACGTGGCAACTAGATGCATTACAGAAAGAGTATATATCTTACCGTGTGCTGCCTAGAGCGCGAAGTATCATAGCTCAGGTACATAGCCGATGGACTAGGGTCAGGTATCTCATCTGGGTGAGAGTGCTCAATGATGTGTAACTATGTTCCGGTCATGTACCACTCCAAGTAGCGATTGAATTCATCGAGATTAAACCCGACATTCTCGTGCCACAGATGTGTGTTTGCAGTCTCCCATTGTGTAACGTACGGCTCAAGCCTAACTAGCCAGTCAGCAGTTGTCCTGTTAATCCCCTTCCTCGTGGTCCTAAAATTATGGTGTGTGTGTTCAAAAATTAACTAATGCTTGAAATGGAGAATTGTGAAAGACAATGCAACATTGAATAACTAGACATACTTGTGGATGCAATGTAACACCCACAATGCGGCTATATCTCCCATGTGTCGGAACACGACTTAGAGGCATAGCCGCATGGTAGGTTTGTCGCAAGAGAGGTAATCTTCACACAATCCCATGTACTGAATAAGAAAGGGATAAAGAGTTGGCTTACAATCGCCACTTCACACAAATACAAGTTAAACATACATCATCCAGAATACAATCAAGGTCCGACTACGGAACCAAAATAAAAGAAGACAACCCCAAATGATAGATCCCTGATCGCCCCAACTGGGCTCCACTACTGATCAACAGGAAAGGAAACATAATAGCGAGCACGATCTTCATCGAGCTCCCACTTGAGCTGGGTTGCGTCGCCTTCACTGGTATCATCGGCACCTGCAACTGTTTGGAAGTATCTGTGAGTCACGAGGACTCAGCAATCTCACACCCGTGAGATCAAGACTATTTAAGCTTATGGGTAGGAAAGGGGTAGTGAGGTGGAGCTGTAGCAAGCACTAAGCATGTATGGTGGCTAACTTACGCAAATAAGAGCGAGAAGAGAAGCAATGAAGCGGTCGTGAAGCTAGCAATGATCAAGAAGTGATCCTGAAACTACTTACGTTCAAGCAGAACACAAGAACCGTGTTCACTTCCCGGACTCCGCCGAGAAGAGACCATCACGGCTACACACATAGTTGATGCATTTTAATTAAGTTAAGTGTCAAGTTCTCTACAACCGGACATTAACAAATTCCCATCTGCCCACAACCGCGGGCATGGCTTTCGAAAGTTCAAACCCTGTAGGGGTGTCCCAACTTAGCCCATCACAAGCTCTCACGGTCAACGAAGGATATTCCTTCTCCCGGGAAGACCCGATCAGACTCGGAATCCCGGTTACAAGACATTTCGACAATGGTAAAACAAGACCAGCAAAGCCGCCCCATGTGTCGACAATCCCGATAGGAGCTGCACATATCTCGTTCTCAGGGCAACACCGGATAGGTCAAGCTACGAGTAAAACCAGCCCTCAAGTTGCCACGAGGTGGCCCCGTAGGCTGCCCGGTTCGGACCAACACTTAGACAAGCACTGGCCCGGGGGGTTAAAATAAAGATGACCCTCGGGTTGGCCGACCCAAGGGAAGGGTAATAGGTTGTTAGGCAAATGTAAAACCAAGGTTGGACCTTGCTGGAGGAGTTTTATTCAAAGCGAACTGTCAAGGGGTTCCCATAACACCCAACCGCGTAAGGAACGCAGAATCAAGGAACATAACACCGGTATAATGGAAACTAGGGCGACAAGAGTGGAACAAAACACCGGCATAAGGCCGAGCCTTCCACACTTTACCAAGTATATAGATGCATTAATTAAATAAGATATATTGTGATATCCCAACATATCTATGTTCCGACATGGAACAAACTTCAACTTCACCTGCAACTAGCAACCCTATAAGACGGGCTGAGCAAAGCGGTAACATAGCCAAACAACGGTTTGCTAGGAAAGATGGGTTAGGGGCTTGACAAGGCAATATGGGAGGCACGATAAAGCAAGTGGTAGGTATCGCAGCATAGCAATAGAGCGAGCAACTAGCAAGCAAAGATAGAAGTGATTTCGAGGGTATGGTCATCTTGCCTGAGATCCCGCAAGGAAGAAGAACGAGTCCATGAAGAAGACAAACGGACGTAGTCGAACGGATCCTCACAAACGCGACGTTATCGGAACTAACCCGAAGAAGAAACACCGGAAAGAAACAAACAACATAGTAAACAACCATCACATCAACATGGCATGATGCACAACCAAGTATGATGCATGCCCGGTTTAATGAGGCATGGCATGGCAAAGTGCATAAGCAAAACTACAAGTTAAGTGGAGCTCAATATGCAACGAGTTGCATATTGACGAAACACCACAACAATTATTTAGTTCTCTCCCGTTTAAGTACTCAACAATATTAAATGTTGGTTAGCATGGCAAGGGGTGAAGCATATGAAAACTAACTATCTAGGCAAGTTTAAATGAGGCCAGAACAACAAGCAACAAGTCCGGAAAATCCTCATATGCATATATTAGGTTTGGTACTGATCTGCCCTAAGCATAATTTTAGAGTTCTTAAACATGCAAGATGAGTGCACCATGTTAAACTATGCATTTTTCTACCCCATTTACATATACAGTTTATTTAAATCCGACCT